AACATGGGAATCAAACCCACGACCACCTAGATGTTACTCGCATGCTCTACCAACTGAGCTAGGCCGCTAACCTCAACTTTGTTCGGTGTGTTTGCGCCTTCTGAGTTTGCAAAATCTTGAATGTTGTAATTGTGATTGAACATTGGTCCTCGGTCTTGGTTGTCATTGAATAATGTAAAATACCGTAGTCAACGTATTTTCTAAAAAAAGAAAAGAAAAACCTGTTCTCCTCATAGACAAGGGACGCTTGTATTTGTACGCTATTTTGTTGTGTCGGTGATGCTCTTAAGCTCATGTTAGGGGTCCACCTACCTCGCGTTATTTGTGCACGCATATAGTGCAAAGATGTTTCACATCTACGTAGGACAACAAAGGGTCTAGTGTATGCAAGATGAGTACCTGTAAGCAATCCAAATGTTACACTGGACAGACAATACTCTACTTTGCGGGTTGTTAGGGTTGAACTAGTTTAGCATTTAACTACAATGAACGTGAGGCTAGCCCATTAGTGTAGACTGTGTCCAACTCAGGGTTGAAGTTATCCCCAAGCAACAGATGAGAGGGGTTGCATATATTTCTCGCAACCACTTTTGGAGGTGAAGGTGAGTGTCTCAACTAGTAAACGTGCCGGGAGCTGCACGAAGCCGTAAGAATTTGAATGGATGGCGTGGGGAATTGATTTCATGATTTCCCCAATGGAGCCTTTGTTGTTCCCGAAGTAGATTCGGAAGCTGATCCAATATTGTAGTGAAGTTGTTTGTTCGAGTGACGAGGTTTGTGTTGTCGTTGTTTTTTCGCAGGTTGGGTCTGCATGTTATGTTCTTATTACACGGTAAGTTCGTGTGGGTTTTGACAATTTGCTTGTCAGTTGCTTTAATGTTTTGGGGGAGAGAGAGAGAGAGAGAGAGAGAGAGAGAGAGAGAGAGAGAGAGAGAGAGAGAGAGAGAGAGAAAAAATCTCGATGAGTTGCAACTCGCCGAGAGAGAAAGAGAGCATCCCGGTGAGTTGCAACTTGCCAAGAGAGAGAGAGAGAGAGAGAGAGAGAGAGAGAGAGAGAGAGAGAGAGAGAGAGAGAGAATACCGGTGAG